AAAAATGATCTCACGCTAAGGCATATCACTATGAAATTGCAGAATATCAGAAACAAATAAGAAGATATTAAAGTATTTCTGGGCAAAGCCCTCATATAAGGACTTTCAGATATTCAGATGGCCTTGGATTTCTCAGGAACCAATACTCAAGGTTAGAATAGCAATGCCTCCAAAATTCTGAAGGAAAAGTATTTCCCATCTGGAACACTTGACAGAAAATTGCAGGCTAAGAATGTGGGATGAATAAAGATAATTTCAGACATGCACGAATCTGAGCATGCATCTTCTCTGGAGAAGCTACTGAATAACATGCTCCACCAAAACAAAAAAATGAAGCAAGAATATAGATGAGAGCCAGAAATCAGGGGACCCAACACAGGAAAGCAGTAACAGCAATTCCCCAGGTGGCTTTGAAGCAGTGGTTCTCATCGTGGGCTGCACATTAGAATTACCTGGGAGCTTTCAAAGCCCTGAAGCCCAGGCCACAGAACAGCAGAATCTCTGAGGGTCTGGATGACCCACACAGCAGTGAATTTAAAATCCGCAGGTGATTCCACTGTGCAGACAAGGTGGAGAACCATTCAGGACAAGAACTGTGTGGGAGGCCTGAAGAACAACCCGCCCAGGTTAAGGTGGGAGGTAAGAGGGACAGGGAAGGGACACTTTCAAGCGGAAAAGAAACCTGGCGTTGACGAGCTATCTGACAGGCGCACAGTGGAAAACTGTGCGGAAATTTGCACGGAGAGGCACTATATAAACAGTCCCAAAAGCTGAAGGCAGGCAGTCCAATGTTCAAAGGAAACAAAGAATATGCAAAAATAAAATGAAGTTCTTAAAAATTTGTGAAAAAAAGATAATGCAACAGGCTTGTCGGCAAGTCAATATTTGCATTTCATAACAAGGAAAAGCATGAAATACGGAATAGTGACATTGGGAAAATAGGGGAAAGAAATAGTTAAGACCTAAAGATGATTAATCATGAGATTCCAACATGCACTTAAGAGATTATGTGGAGTCAAATAACAGAAGAAACAGCCAGAGGAGTGTGATAGGATGAATAATGGCCCCTAAAGATGTCCATGTCCCAATCCCTGGAAGCCGTGACTGTTGCCTTATAGGGCAAAAGGGAATTTGCAGAAATTAAGGCTCTCGAGATGAGGAGATGAGCCTGGGTGTTCCAGGTGGGCCCGGTACAATCACAAGGGACCTTATAGAGGAAGGCGAAGGCAAAGTCAAAGGGTGCGAGACAGTGACGTGAGACTGAAAGTGGAGATCAGAGTGATGTAGCCACGTGCCAAGGAGCCAAAGGATGGGGGTGGCCAAGAGAGGCTCGAGAAGAGGCACAGAACAGATTCCCTGCTACAACCCCCTGAAGGAACCCACCCGAAACTGAATTTTAGCCCCTCCATACTCATTTCTGACTTCTAAATCCAGAACTGTCAAAGAATAAATGTATATTCTTTTCAGCCACTGAGTTTACAGTAATTTGTTACAGTAGCAATGGGAATTATTTTTATTGAGGCATACTTGACATATAACATCATATTAGTTTCAGGTCTACGACATAATAATTCAATATTTGTCTATATTGGGAAATGATCACCACCGTAAGTCTAATGAATATCCATCTGTCACCATACATTGTTATAGAACCTCTTTTGTGATGTGAACGTTTAAGATCTGTTCTTTAGCAACTTTCAGATATGTCTTACAGTATTAACGACAGTCAACATGCCACACATCAAATCCCGATGGCTTAATTTTATAAGCAATTGGGAACGAATCCCAGGAGTTTTAAAGTGTCAGAGTGAAAGGGGGATTGAAGGCATGCAGGGGACATAAGCCCTTCAGTGTTGACTTTTCAAAGAACATGTAACACATGGATAAAAATGAAACTAACCAAGCTTCACCGAGTGCTTAGAGTAGTGAAAGGTTACGGCCATAAAAACCTAAGTGATTGAGAAGTGATCCTCCAACATGAATGTGCACCCAACTCCCCCGCGGCCCGTGTTGAGACGCAGGTTCTGATTTAGGTCTGCAGTGGGACTTGAGATGCCTACATCCCTACCACCTACAGCTCCCCGGTAGCACCCATGCTGCTGCTGCATGAACCATTCCAGGAACAGCAAAGACCTAGACTTTAGGACTATAGAGAGAGGGGTGTTGGGGGGAAGGCAGCAGAATGCAGATAGGGTTTTTTGTTTAAGTTTAGACATTTTGACTTTATCCTTGAAGATATAGGGACCACTGGGCAGTGGAACAACAGGATGAGACTTTAACAATTGTTATTCTCTCTCAAAGAGGAGGAAGCAGCGGGTAGCAAACCAGAGACTGGATATCATGTGGTGTGCAATCTTTTCTGAAGTTTTCTTGTGTAATATCTAAATGAATTTTGTAGTCTTTTTCTCTGACATGATTATACAGTATGTATTAAATTCCTATCTGCCCATGACAGATCCATAGGTAAATAGCCTAAGAAAAATAATTTTCTCAGGAAAGTTGCATTATGTAGTAAAATTAAAACTGTTTCTTAAAAAAACTTGAAACCCTGCAGCTCATCACACCCCATGTAAATGGGTATCATACAGTATTCACATCCTCTACATTGACCCTAGTTAAGGCAAACCACAGGCGTCATAGCTTCGCAGAAGAGCAATGCATGTATTTGACTTTCCTAAAGCATTTGAAATAGTTCTGCAAAGCATTCTCAGAGGAAGTCTATGCAGGTTGATTAAATGGAATGAGAAGAGTATAATATGGGTAAATAGTTAAATATATTGAACAGCAACAAATTATTAATAGTTTGCTGTCAAAATCAGAGCAGCTATTGAATGCAATTCATAAGGAACCATCCTGGGTCCAACCCTGCTGCAAATTTTCTGTTAATAACTCTGAGGACCGTGTGACTAGTGCTCTCATCAATTCACAAGACATGCAGCTCTGGGAAACATTACTAATGCTTTGGACGACAGTATCAAAATTCAGGGTGATCTTGTTAAATTGAAGAATTGAGCCAAAATCAACAGAACAGGCACACAGCTCCACCAGGTGTTTCAAACCATAGGAGTCAGGAAGCTCTGAAACAGGGATCAAGGCCATCCTGGCAGCCAAATACCCCATGGGCAAGGCTATCCAACACCTGTCTGCCTTCCCCTCCCTCACAGGCTACCTGGACTGATGTCAAAGACTGTCCCCACACAAGATTTAACTCTACCACCTATAACCTCTAACCCTTTCCTTCAGAGCCCTGCAGTGAGGGGAGAGAAGACCGGTTTGGCATGACTTCAGGAGCCCACACTAGCAAATGTAGACTTTGGAACATCACATTAGCAGCAGGAAGAAATAAAATAAGCACTTAAAGGTTTGTAAGTAAAAGTAAAATGACCTTTTCCCAAAGCATGTCATAATGTCTTCCTGATCTTTTTAAAATGTGGTCACTAAGGAGAAAGGGGGTGGGTGGGAGAAGATGGAGATCAGGTTTCTCTAACAATTTATTGTTTGCCTGCTCAAATCCTGGAAATGCGACTTTTTAAACTCAAACCCATCTTTCCTTTGAACGACATACAACCCCAGACTCATCTTTATTCATTTATTTATTATTAATTAATTTTTGTTACAGATGTTTCTCCTTTTCCCCCCCACTGATTCCCCCCTCCCCCTCCCTCCCTGCCCTGTCCCCAGCTTTGTTGTCCATGTCCATTGTTCATGCACACATGCATATAAGTTCTGTGGTTTATCTCTCCCCCACCACCCCCTCTTCTGGGGATTGTCAGTCTGTACCCCACTTCCACGTCTCTGGGATTACCCCATTCCTCAGACTGTTATGTTCATTATATTCCACAAATAAGTGAGATAATATGATACTTGTCTTTCTCTGTTTGGCTTGTTTCACTTAGGATGATACTTTCCAGGTCCCTCCATGTAGTCTCAAAGGATAAGAGATCTTTCTTTCTTACAGTTGCGTAGTACTCCATTGTGTATATGTACCACAGCTTTTTTATCCAATCGCCAGACTCATCTTTAATTACACTTACTTTGTGGTCCCAGTTAGCCAGTCAGTAACCACGCCCAGCCAAGTTCACCTGCTGAGCTCACCTGTACTCTCTTCTCCATCCTCTCACCCACCACCCTGCTTCATGTCCTCTTTATTCCTCACCTAGACTAATACAGAAGGGTCTTAGAGGCCTCTCTGCCTCGCTGTTCCTTTAGATTCATCCTTTACATGGCTACCAGTGTGATCCAGCTAAGTACAAATCTGACCTTGAAACTTTCCTGTGTAAAACTTTTCATCACCTTCAGTCCCAGTTCTCCAATGTGACATACATATTTCTGCAGTGGTGTTCCACCAGGAGTACCACCAGCTGTCTGTGTGGGGCATTTCTGGATGTCTCAATGTCTGGGGGATGCTAGCAGCATTTTTGTGCCCAGAGGTCAGGAATGCTAAACATCCTGCAGTAGCCAAGGCAGCCCACACAATGAACTACCCCACCCAGATTGCCACTGTTGAGGAACTCCTCACGGTTCCTGCATCCTGCCTACTGTACAGCCTTGTAGACTCAGCTCTTGACTTCCACTCGCATAGACTGCAGCTGCACAGAACTCTTCCTCCCTAGCACAGCCATGCTTTCTCTTGACATTATACTTTAATTCTTGCTTCTGTGTCTGAACTAATTTGTCACCTGGATTGACTCTCTTCACTTTATGAACTCATCTTTTACATTTTAGCTTTCTAATTACAACATGCTCTATACTCACAATTTTGCTTTATAATTATGGCTTTCTCCTTCACTTGACTAAGGTCCTTCTAGGCAGAAATGGTATATACTCAGTAGACCTTATATAAACACAAAAAATATTGAGGGGTGGGAAGTTTTAGACTAGGCCATCTGCCTTGAGTTCAATATTCTACATTGTACAGGCCACTCTATGACCTTCATCTTCATTTCCTAAACACTTCTTTTGAAAATGCCAGACAGCACCCTGAATGGCATTCCACTTACCCAAGTCGAAGATTGTGGGTCACAGCGAGCAATTTCATGGGTACTTCTGTTGGGGAACTCTGTCTCCAGTCTGCTCAAGAACTCAGCAGTTTTGCTATCAGAAACACAAATCGCTGTTAGTGCCTTCATAAGAATAGAAATATCATTATTTATTGTACCTTTGGAAACTAGCCTAGGCTTGTATTGGGTTATGCTTAACAGTATCATAGGTAGAACAAAAGGTTAGTTTGAATACGGCAGAAAATCAAAACAAAATGCTGTTGCAAACCTGCATTATTGAAAAGCATTAGTTTGAAAAGCATAAGTCTAGGTTTATGGAATGTGAACCTATGATTTCATTTTTCTACTTCATCTACTTTGACATGGAAATAAATGTTCTCTCATATTCCACGGTATGGGGCCCTAATTTCCTACCTGAACATTTAAAGCTTGACACTCAGACTTCACTGTGTAATGAAACATTAATCCCCCGCAATATCCCATTCCGTAGTGGTTTTGCATTAGGCCCCTTGTCCTGGTCATCTCATTTCCTTCGTGGTTTGGACTACTTGCAAGATACACAGACCCTTGAATCCAGTAACTCTTAGCCATTTGGGGATTCTGAAAGCAGAAAATAACCCTCTGCTTCCAGACACACACACACACACACAGACACACACAGACACAGACACACACACACACACACACACACACACACACACTTGATTTGTAAGCAGTGCTGTGGTTCTGGTCTGCATTTCTGACATGAAAGACTGGCCTAGACATTTCCTCAGAGTTAGTATGAGGTTCTTTGTTTTTCCTTTAAAAATACAAACTGTCTCCCCAGTTTTGCCTCTCATGTATGTCCAGCATAGAACACTGGAGTTGTTTCCTGGTCCTTCCTTCCATAGCTGCCCCATTCTAACTACCACTGATTTATTGACAGTCCTCTGTCCTTTCCCCGTGTTATCTGTGGGATTTGCTACCCCTCTATTCCACATTCACACCCAAACACCTCACTGAGGCCTGATTCCAGACCCCTGCAGTCTGCTCCCCACCTGCTTCCTTCCTTCTGTACCCTTCTGCTTCCTCTTAATATTTTAGGTCTAATGCGAAGATCCAAGTCATCGAGCACTTAGGGCATGGGCATCAGAGGAAACACAAGTTGCCTGGTAAAGATAAATGATACCCAGTGGGGCGAAAATCAAAACAAGGAATTCGAAATTAAACAGAGATGCCAGCATCAGCTTCAAATAATTGCTTCGGTAGAACATGGCATTTACACAAGGTGAGAAGCTTGCGCTGGGAAAGGAAGAGCTAGAAGTTCAATGGTGTACATAACCCTGAGAAACATATGGCTTCGGCAGTTGAGAGAAGGAGCCTTCCCATTTGCCTAGGATTGCTTATCTTGCCAAGAAGAGACAAGGAGACTAATGAAGTCTCACAGTCTGGAAGCTGCCCCAGTGTCTGGGGCTTTATGAAGTCATCAGTCAAAAATATAAAGAGAAGAGAGTTGCCAGAAGTTTGGATGAGACTTCTGAATATCCTTAGCTGAATGCAAACCATAGGCAAAAGCAGAGAAAAAGAAACACCATGAGCAGCCAGGAAGAAACTCCAGACCAAGGTGACTGGCAGCCCTGCGTTGTGTTCTGATGGTTGCTTTTCACCTGCCAATCCCAGCACAAGGCTGGCTGTGCAGCTAACCACCAGCATGGCCCTTGTGCCAGTGGCACTGTCCCACTTGTGCCACAAGATTAAATCATAGTGACAGGGCCACAGGACTGTCACAGGAATGTCGATTACTCCCAAGTGATTAACTATACAAACAAGACAAGTTCCAAGTCGCCAAGCTAACAGGTACTTTTCTGCATTAGCACAGTGTCAGGTGGTTGAGTCTTGGCCAATGGAATGAGAAAGGAAGTGATGTACACCACCACCTCCAGGACTAACTTACTATAAACTTCCCAAGTCTGCACCTGCACACGTTTCTCTCCTTCTGGCTGCACGGAGAAGAGGTAACCTCCCGCACAAACTTTAAAGTCATATATTGAAGACGGGAGAACCGATACTGGTTTTGCTGCCTGAATATCTGAGTGGAGGGCCCTCTTCTCAAACCTGTTTGCCCATGTCTTAAATGAGCAAGAAAGAAAAAATATAGTACTCAAGCTATTGTATATCTTGAGGTCTGTTTATTACAGCAACTACCCTACTCAAATAATACAACACACACAACATACACAAGAGACTCATCTCTCAATTTAGGTAATCAATTCCAACAGTATGTAAGAGAGGCTAAGGTTTGTTGAGGAAGAGTAGAAAATAGAATTCTCAAGGATTTGTCTCAGCATCTTTGCTGTTTCAGAGCCTGGGTGGGGGAGGGGACGGTGGGAGAGCCCACTCATCCCTGAGCTGTCCTCTCGTCAGACCGAGGACCAGGCCCAGAGTGTAAAACGCATCTCAGCACCACTAACCGGATTACTCTCAATCAACAGTAACATTAGTTTTGTCTAATCTGAGAACAAGTGGGAGTTTTGGAAAAGAAGCTGCATTATGAGAAAGTCAAGGAAGAAAAGGAACATGGCATGTTATATTCTGTACGATGGCATATTTAAAATCTGTGAATGGAAATTCATCAGTGAAAAGTAAAACGACCTTTATGAAAGAACAAAAAATATAGAAAAGGCCACAGAGAGTGAAATGTGTGCCTGTCGTTTCTTTTGAATAGCACAGACTTGTGCATGGCAATTCCTATAAGGCTATTTTTTATAGTTAGAGAAGGACACTAGGGTTTTAGTGTTCAAGAAATTAAAAAGGAAAACAGAATCGCCCCACCGGGGTGGCTCAGTGAATTGAGCGTTGCCAAATGTCCTAGTTTTTGTACGTGTAATAAAAATGCTAACAACTTTTAATTTGAAATAGGTTGGCAATTAATTCAAAATTTTTTGAAATATTGGGGGCGAACATTGTGTTGGCCAAAACAAAACAAAACAAACAAGAAAAAACTCTCTCGGTCAAATGTGGCCCCAAAGGCTGCCTATTTGTGACCAGGTGATTTTATTTCTGCCTGTCCAGGCTTGTGTATTTCTTAATTATGTATTCTTTATATTCATTTAAAAACCAAAAAAAACAAGCAAGGTTGGTTTCTAGTACTGAAGAGAGGTTTCAGTAACAGCTGCTACACTGGTTTATGTAGATCAGCTAATAGCAAGAGAAAGAAGGTACTATATCATATTTCATATTTATATCAAACACTGAAGTATATCATTTCTTTTATAGTTTATAACTGTATAGATATTTGTATTAATACATGAAAAGAAATGGTGAGACACTATAAAATGAAAAGATAGCCCAAATATATTTATAACCAAAGAAAAATAATAAAATTATTGTGAAAAATATATAAAGGTCTAATAAATCAATTAGAAAAAGACAACCCAATAGAAAAGTGGGCAAAAGGTAGAAATGTACTTCACAGAGGAAGAAGCCCGATTACTAGTAATAATAGAAACAACAACAACAGCCCTGGCCAGTTGGTTGAGTATTGTCCTGTGCAGTAAGAGGTCACCACCTGATTCCCAGTCAGGGCACATGCCAGGGTTTCAGGCTTGATCCCCAGTAGGGGTGTGTGTGGGAGATAGCTGATCATTGTTTCTCTTCTCTCTCTCTCTCTCTCTCTCTCTCTCTCTCTCTCTCAAGCTATTGTAATCAAAATAGCCTGATGCTGGCACAAGAACAGGCATATAGATCAATGGAGCAGAATAGAGACCCTAGAAATCAACCCAAGCCATTATGCTCCGTTAATATTTGACAAAGGAGACAAGAGCGTGCAATGGAGCAAGCACAGTCTCTTCAATGAATGGTGTTGGGGAAATTGCACAGGTACCTGCAAAAAAAATGAAACTAGACCACCAACTTACACTATACACAAGAATAAACTCAAAATAGATAAAAGACTTAAATGTAAATCGTGAAACCATAAATATCCTAAAAGAAAACATAGGCAGTAAAATCTCAGACATCTCAGGTAGCAGAATTTTTGCCAATGCATCCCCTAGGGCAAGAGAAACAAAGAAAAAAATAAGCAAATGAGACTACATCAAACTAAAAACCTTCTGCACAGCAAAAGAAACCATCCTCAAAATGCAAAATGAACCCATTATATGGAAAACATATTCACCAAGGATACATCTAATAAGGGGTTAATTTTTAAAATGTATAAAAGAACTCATACAACTCAACAAAAGGAAGACAAACATTCCAATTCAAAAATGGGCAAAGGACCTAAATAGACACTTCTCCAGAGAGGATATACAGATGGCTAATAGACATATGAAAAAATGCTCAATGTCACTAGTCATCTGAAAGATACAAATTAAAAAGACAATGAGGTATCACCTCACACCGGCCAGAATAGCTACCACCAATAAATCAATAAACAAGTGCTGGCGAGGGTGTGGAGAAAAGGGAACCCTAGTACACTGCTGGTTGAAATGCAGACTGGTGCAGCCACTGTGGAAAACAGTATGGAGATTCCTCAAAAATTTAAAAATGGAACTGCCATTTGACCCACTCTCACTTCTTGGAATATGTCCTAAGAATCCTGAAACACCAATCAGAAAGAATATATGCACCCCTATGTTCATAGCAGCACTATTTACAACAGCTAAGATCTGGAAACAGCTCAGGTGTCCATCAGTAGACAAGTGGATAAAAAAGCTGCGGTACATGTACACAATGGAGTACTCCGCAGCTGTAAAAAACTAAAAAGCAAACAAACAAAACAGGATTTCTTACCCTTTGAGACAGCATGGATGAACACTGAAGAGTATTATGCTGAGTGAAATAAGCCAGTTAGAGAAAAACAAATATCACATGATCTCACTTATATGTGGAATCTAATGGACAAAATAAACTGACGCACAAAACAGGTTCAGAGACATGGACGCATGGAACAGACTGGCATCTCCCAGAGAAGGGGAGCGGGATACAGGAAGAGGTTAACCGAAGAATTTATATACATATAAGCATCGCCCAGGAACACAGACAATAGTGTGGTGAAGGCCCGGGGTGGGGCATGGGCTAGGGTGGATACTGGGGGACATCTGTAACACTGTT